TACTCTGGACCACTATGGACTTGTTTTGCAAGCTTGTTGCTGTACAGCTACAAATTCCATTCGCTGCAGCCCTGATTTTCCAACATGACCCCAGACAAAAACGAAAGAGGAGCACAAGCTCTTTGGTGCAGGGACCACCTTTTTGTTCTGTTTCTCGAGTGCTGAACATAATGGGGTTCTGGTAAATGACTGGAGCTCCTAGGTGCTCCTGCAATACAAATAACAATAAATGTGTTAGGGTGAGTACACTTGACAGAAAGATGTTGGACATTTTCCAGCAAGAAAATAGAATGGAATAACTGATTGGTTCACTGCCTGAAAGTCCTGCTTGGCTACAGTGGAGGACTGGAGCTGGTAATTACACTCCTGACATTTCCTTGGCTACTAGCTTTTCCCCCACCGTCCCTGGCCCCTCCAAACTTAGCAGTGGGGGGACTTAGCAGTTATGGGGAGTGCTGCTACACGGCTCCATTCATCCTGCGCAACACAGATATCCTCTACTGCTGACAGCCTCCCCACCTGAATAGTGTGAGGAAGCAAGCGTTACACTGATTCAAGGATAGAATGGATGCACTCAGTTGGTTAGAATAACCAATTGCTCTACCACAGATTGATCTTTCTAGTGCAGACATACCTCTAAATGGGTTATAATCCTAGAAATGAAATAAAACACAAAAGTAGGCGGTGGACATATTTATACTTTCTGCTAGCAAAGTGTCAATTAGGAATCAGTAATGCAATGTGTCTTTACACAATAGCTGTTTGATTTTCTGTTGCCACAGACGCTCATTAGCACACCAGTTCATTAAGTTTCTCTTAATTGCTTCATTGGTTTAAGCTTCAGCAAGCATCTGAAAATATTTTCCATTCAAAATTAGAAGAAGCTGGAGATATGCCCTACTTGATTTTGTTTGTTTTTATTCTTTAGAGGATAGTGGTAATTTTGCCTTTAAAATAATAGAAAATAGACTGACTTCACTCAAGGAGAGTAGATCTAAACACAGTCTCCTGTAGACTCTCTTTAAAAGATAGAGATTCAGGTGTTTGCCTAAGATAGGAATGTCTTCTGAATAGCAATGCTTACTGCACCCATAAGTCTCTGTCTGGGCCAAGGAATCTGAAGCTGCCTTCCCCTCTACCAGAAAAGATGTAGGATCCTTGGTAATCTCAAATGTTCTGAGACTCCCAGATGGCATAAGTGGTTCAGCATCTGACACAGAATGCTCTTCCAACCTCTCGTTAATGATGAAGAATGGAGAGGGTTGCTCGATAGAGAGGCTCTTTTGGTCTGTACAAAATATGAACCTCTGTTCAAATACAAAGAGCTCCTTGTATATATCTGAGCAGGAATGTTCAGCTCAAATATAGGCTATGGCTAAAACGAAACGGGTGTATCAAATGCACTGCAGAAATGAACTGCTCAGAGTCAGTTGAAAAAAAAAATTTCTGCAGAAAAATTCCAATAAAGGAAGTTTTTGAAATTTTCAGTCACATTTTTTGACGTAAAAAACCCCCCAAAAAATGAAAACCAAAATTTTCAGCTGACACTAAAAAATAATAAAAAAAAAAGTTTCTTCAAAACTTAGTTTAGTTATAAACAACATTGTCAGTTTCAACAAGCCCCTTTCAGCTATAAAAGCAATCCACCAGGTTTTTCTATTTGTATTAATAGTCGTGGGGTTCATAGAAAACTCAGTCCTGGAAGGCTTGCTTTTGTATGTGATCTGACTCACTCAGCTGTACTCTTCTGTCCTGGTCAGTGTTTGGAGAAATGCATCAGAGTGACATCTGGAAGATTTTACTGCTCAAGGTGTCACCTTCCATGTGATAGGAAAAAACTTGGGTTGTCCATAACTCCTTGTATCATTAATGATCTCTTGACACTACTCTGAAGAACATTAATTCTTGTGTCCTGGACAAATATTATGTAAGTAATTACATTTCACTTCCTTAAATCCCACCAACAGAACAGAGTTTTTCACTCACTGTATCCAAGGTAGGTTTATCTACATGAATACTTAGTTTGTGGTGTGACTCTACCTCACGCTAGCCCGCTGCGCCCTAAGGGTATGCTTCTGCGGCCTGTGGCTGTGAGCCTCTGAGCCTGCATCGACAGACTCGGGCTCATGGGGCTTGCACTACCACACTAAAAACAGTGCTTTCTAAGTTGTGGTTTGGGCCCTGAAACTCACTCCTCTCCCTCAGCTTCAGAGCCCAAGCTCCAGTTCAAGCTACCGCATCTACACAGCTATTTTTAGCGAGGTGGCACAATCCTGAGTCCTTTGACCCTGGCTCAGAGGCTCACAGCCACAGGCTGTGTAGACATACCCTAATTGTCCATGTGCACCTCAGCAGGGGTCCACAAACACCTCATTAGCACTCTTTGCAAACTCCCATTTTGAAGTGGGGTGGATCCAAGTGGTGATGGTGGTGGTGGTGGTGGATTGAGGACTGTTGAAACTGCAAACGATCATGATAAAAGTGGGAGGGTTTCCTGGTCCTGCTTGCAGGATAGGAGGCTCAGTGGCAAGGCATATGATCAGAGTCAGTCTGAAAAGACACAGCTTAAATAAAGGTGGGTTGAGTAGTGCCTCACTGCCTTGGGGAGCAATCTGCTTTCTCTCTTTATGGGTTCTTGTGTGTATATCACTAAATTCTATGAAATAAAGCTGTGTAATGCTGCAGTCTTCCAGCAAGAGTATTTGTTTGTATCTGCTTTCTCTGTGAATGCTGTGAACATAACAGTAATATAATGACAAGGAGTCCGGTGGCACCTTTAAAGACTAACAGATTTAGTTGGGCATAAGCTTTTGTGGGTAAAAAATGCATGGAGTGGAAATTACAGTTAGTCTTTAAGGTGCCACCAGACTTCTTGTTGTTTTTGTGGATACAGACTAACACGGCTACCCCTTGATACTTGAGTAATGTAATGGTGACTGTGTGTGTCTGAGAACAGTATGCCATCCTTTTGTGGCTGACTGCAGAGAGAATAAAATTCGTACTGCTTCTGAGAACTGAGATTATCCTGTAGCTAACGTGTGCTGTGTTTTAGGAACAAAGGACAAGATTTTTAAAGGTCTTTAGGTGCCTAAAGATACAGATAGGCATCTCATGTGCTTTTAAAAATCCCACTATGTGATATCTTTAAAAATCTAGGTCCCAAATTCCCAGGTCGTGTCCATTTTGGCATGTAGCTCTTTTTTGTGCCTATTGTTTCATTGAAGATTGGACCGAACATGATGCAAGTAGAGGATTACAAACCAGCAAAGCATGCACAGGATTTATTGCCAAAAAATTTTTTTAAAACAAAACTGTGCATTGTGGAACACATTAGAATAATTTTAGCAATGACAAGTTAGTAAACACCACTGCCTTGATTGCCCACTTTAAAAGGATGGTTGATAATCCTCCCTCCAGTGTCTCTTGTTTGATTTTCACCTCCATCCCCACCCCCACCAAAACTTGTTGAATGAGAAGATGCTACAGCTTCTGGATTTATCTGGAGTTTTTAGACTGAAACTAGTTACTCCTGAGGGCATTCTGTGCCAAAAATTAAAAATTCTGCAAGTTTTATTTGTCAATAAATAAATGCAGAGGCTCCAGCATGAAAGTGGGGAGCACAGGCCATTGCATGAAGGTGGGATATCACCCTGCAGCCCTCCTACACCAGGACATGGAGGCTGCACCCAACTCTGACACAGCACAAGACCTGGGCCTGTCCCAGAAACACACGGGGGCCTTGCCCCTATGTGCCAGGTGCACCAGGAGTGGGGCAGGCAGGCTTACCCAAGCAGGATCCAAGTGTGGAGGGGCTCCGTGTGGGGGGATCCTGATGTGGGGTGAGAGGATTCTATGTGGGACAATCTGGGTGCAGGCAGCTAAGTAGGGGGTTTGGTGTGTGTGGGGATCATTGGGGGGTGTTCCAGGTGCTGGGGCAATGGGACTCTGCAGGGGCTTCCAGGCAAAAGTGGTTAGGGCTCAGCGGAGGGTTCTGGGTGTGGGGTCTGTGTGCTGTGGGAGTGGGACTTGGTGGGGTGGGCGTCTGGATGCAGCTAGTTGGGGTCAGTGGCATGGGGTCTGGATATGGGGGCTCAGGGAGGTGCAGGGGGTGGGGCTCATCATGGTGAGGGTTTGAGTGAACGGAGCTCAGTGGGGGGTGGTCTGGGTTCAGGGGTCGGGTCCATAGGCAGGGGGTCTGAGTGCAGGAGGGCTCTAGATGCAGGAGATGAGGTTCAGTGGGATGGGGTTTGGGTATGGAAGGCTAGGGGAGTTCTAGATGTACTGCATGAGGTTTTGCAGGGATGTTTGGTTATGGGAGGTCTGGACGCACAGGGGTTGGGTGAATGGGGGAGCAGCTCCCTGTATTGGGTGACCCCCAGAGCTGAGGAGCAATGGGGGCAAGAAGCATGGGAGGATGCTGAGCTTCCTGCAGCTGGGGGAGGTTTTTAGGGGTGGGTCTGACACAGCCCCAGCAGCTCCTTCCAGGGGAAGAGGAAGTCCTGTTCTCTCCTGCCTCCAGCACAGCCGGGATAAGCAGCTGATTCCAGTTTAAGGTAGGAGACACTGACTGGGGTGTCCCCAGCCCTGTGGTGATTTACCTCTCTGCTGGCTGCTCTGGGTGCCTGAAACAATGTACCTGCGCTGCTAGGGAGTGATGCACGTCTGCTCTTAAAGCTTCCCTTTGCTTTCCTGTCAGAAAGTCATTTTTTTCTGCAGGGAACCAAAGAATTCTGTGCTCGTGCAGTGGTGCAAAATTCCCCCGGGGTAACTAATCAACAGAATTTTGTGCATAGCAATGATTTACTTTGGCAGAAGTCCCATGTTCAGCAAAGTCCAGTGTTCTTGTCCCAATGCTAGATCAATATCCCTATCTGATCACTGATGGAGTTAATGTGAACTGCTTAGAAATCCCAGCACACTAAGTAAAGTAAATTAACTCTTTCTACTTCTTTACAGTGCATAGAGTGTTTAAAGCAATGACTCTCTTTTTTTTTGTCTAGAAAACCAGTGCAAATCAGAAGTGTCCACAAATTAGACAATCAGTTTTGTCCAGAAGAGATTGAGGTTGGTGATACTGAGATACACACACCTCTAATGGATAAGCCTAAATCAAAACTTCAGTCATACATCAGCTGATCCACTCAGAAATTACAAAGATGGTGCAACATGTAATAGTATGTTAACAGTATTGTCAGCCTTACACAGTCAAATCATGAGATTTAAAAAAAATAAAGGTTGTCTTCTCATTTGCTTTGGGGTTTGTGAGTCTTTCAGATTCACACTTTCCAGCTTTTCTCTGCAACCATGAGAGCTAGAAACATTCTTTTTTCAAAATGACAGCTGGAATTCTGAGTAATTGCATGACTCCAGGAGTTGGGGCTTAAAGAAAAACACCAAATGTTGCAAGGCTCACAATAAAATCATGAGCTGGCAACACTGCAATTAATGCCCCCAAATCTGTTTAAAACACATCAATTCCATTTGATTTATTCCATTAGATTATTCACTGCTGTCTGGAAAGATCAATCACTACTGAAAAGTGCATCCTAGATTCAGATGGGTTCCTAGTATAGAAAGAAATCTTATAGATCAAGGTTGTTAATTGAAGAATTCTATACAATAAAACAAAAAAGACCTGCTTTTTCAAAATTGTAAATCTTGCTTGTAAAGCTTTCAGCTGAATTTTGAAAACAGGTAATTGTACATACATGGTTAATTAGGTGCATTTGCACATGCAGTTAGCCAATTTGCAAGGGCAATTCTAATAAATGCATGCCATTGCACATCTTGCATAACTAAAACTCATGTCTAATGCAATTTGAAATGAACTGAGAAAAGTCCAATGAATGCCTCTGGGGCTTACACTAAATATTGCACAAATATAATGAACTTTTGAAGAAGTTTGTACCTCAAGCAAGTCCCATTAGAATCACTGATTTAATATAGGGAAGTTTAAACAAAAGTAATGTTTGAATTAAAGTTTAATGTTAGGGAAATGGACTGTCAGGACGTGTATAGGCTGAGAAGGAACGGCAGCACTTTCAGATTGTAAAGTGTTGCTAAATGTCATAGCAACACTTATTTTGCTGTGGAAATTAATAATGTATAAGAGCTTTTGCAGCCATGAGTTAAACCATGACTGGCAACTAGAGTTTTTTCTTTCAGTCAAGACCGTCTCCCTTTTAGGTATTCAATCCTGCTCCTACTGGATTCAATTAGCGTTCTCCCAATGACTAGCTATACGTGTTTAATTAAGTCCTGATTCTGTTCCCTAAAGTCTTAACTTTGTAGCATGCGTAGGTCAGAGGACAAGACCACAGGTGAAGCTTTAGTAGGCCAGACTTTCTAACAGTGTAAATTGACATTGCTCCTTTGAAATCAGTGGAGCCATGAGAACTTCTATGAGCTGCGAATCTAGAACAGAAACTCATACGAAATAGTATGAACAGACCTCACTTGTTCAGCCACATAGTCACTAACTATTGCTATTGACATAGAACCTGCATATTTACCATTTAAAGGGCTCCACTGATGTTCAAGAATTAAGATACTGGATCCACAAAGTACATAAGCACGTGCTTAACTTTATTACACGAGTAGCCCCCATTAATACTGGTGGGACTGCTCACATGCTCTAAATTGCTGAATCAGGGCTTTGCAACCTTCTGTGGTAAAGCTTAAGGGAGGGAAGGAGGAAAGTACGCTTGAAATTCTCAGGGGAGAAATTAATACTTCCCCACAGAAAAACCTAAATAAATGCTAGACTCGCCAAAGGCTGGCCCTGAAGGGTAGGGCATGTTAAAGAATGTCAAAAAAGCTCCATCTGTCATATGTTCCCACAGCTGCCCCATCCTCCAATACTCCTGTTTGTCTTGAGTGTCTTTGCCTTCTTCCATGCAACTGGAACACCTGGTCGAAAAGGGACCCTCCCCAGCCTGGTGAAAATGAGTGAGTGAGGGTGGGGGAGAGCGAGTGATGGAGGGGTGTGTGTGGAGTGAGTGGGGCGGGGCCTCAGAGAAGGGGCAGGGCAAGGGTTTTCAGTTTTGTGTGATCAGAAAGTTGGCAACCCAACATGCAAGTTGTGACTTAAGAGCCACATGATAGCCCTGAGTAACTTGCTCACGGTCACAGCCTGTCAGTGGCAGAGCTCAACAATTCTGAATCCTAGTTCCAGGAATTAGAAAACCTTTTTACTGCACTTAGAGGAACTTAATGGAGTTCAGCATCCAAATCCCATTGCAAGTTCAATGGGTTGGGCTTCTAAGTCTGTTAGACTCTTTAAAATCCCAACCAAAGTGAATTATTTCAAATATATGAATGTCTAAAGTTCAGACAGTTTGAGTTGAGACTTTAAATAGAAGGCTATTGTGATGTGCTTAAATGTCAATACGAGAGCACCCGGACAATTTTTCATCTCTGCTTCAAACCTTCAGACGGTGCCAAAGGACAGATAATGCTGCTGCAGCAAGAACAGGTACTATTCAAGCTGACAGTCCTTTTTTAAAAAAAAATCTATCTTAATTCTTAATACCTCACCAGCGTTTTGTTTTCAAAGAAGATCTGTGAGCTAGATGGTGTATTTCACAAGGGCTGCTCTTTGAATGACCATAACTTCGGTTTCAGTAGATTAAGACAAAAGATAACATTGATTAGTTAACAGAAGCTCCATTGTGGGAGTCCTGCAGTCTTATTTTCTTTCAGTCCTGGATAAAAACTCCTTGTCTAGCATAGTAAATGAAGATGAATCAATGTGGAGTTGAATCATATTTATCAGGAGCACTGTGCATTGGACAAAGCACATAGCCTGAGACATGAACTGCGTGCCCCCAAACTGTCCAAATACCATAAGAATTCCAGCTTACTCCCCGAAAGCAAGCTGAGCGAAGGAAGAAGACAAAGAGGCCAGTCTATTTACAGCAAAACACTTATACCCTGATTGTGCGTCTATTGCATATTAACCAAACATGAATTCATGCACATAGGATACTGTGTACACTAATCAGTCTTGGGGCTAGATCCTAAAAGAGGATTTAGGATTATGTTAATGCAAACTAGATACCTTTGTAGTTTGTGCCAGCAGCATCCACATGGGGCAGTTTTGAGCACAACACTGGTGCGCTTTGCAGTTTGCATGTCCACAGCCCACACTGTGCTGCAGTGTAGGCAGGCCCTTGGACTCAGCGTTGCAGTGCCTTACTCTTAGATGTTATGCCACCTCGTGGAATGCACAGCTCCAAGGTAGGTGCCCAGGCTCCCTATACAATGCCTGAGGAGAGCTGGACCCCTAAGAATGGGACTCACAAAAGCCAGCATGCTGAGTGGGAAGCCATCTAAACTTGCCAATAGGCCATGCCCCTCTCTTCAGCATTTCCTAAATCTAACCCCTCAAAGGGACGTAGACTAAATTGGAGGCACCTCCCTCTGCTTGGGATTCACAGCTGTGAAACCTCCCCTGAGTTAGGAGTACAAGCCCTTTCTTGGGCAGGTACACACATGCAGGTGCTCCTCCTATATCCAGTAGCCCATGGGTTAGAACACTTACCCAGGGTGTGGGAGACCCAGGTTTAGTTCCCCCCGCCTCCCTGATTTGGAGCAGACATTTGAACCAAGGTCTTCTCCCCTTTAAGGTGAATGCCCTAACCACTGAGCAATGGGGTGTTCTGGGTGGTCCTTTCTTAGTCTCTCCTGTTGAAGCTGTTCCATTTGTATAAATAACTAAGTAGTCATTGGAACAGACTTGAACTTAAGTCTCTACCATCCCAGCTGTATGCACTAAACACTGGGCTATAGTCACTGGGTGAAAGAAAGAGGGACTAGTAAATACTCTATACAAAGGGGAACAGCTTTAATGGGAAAGACGCACCCTAGAATACCCCAAAACCCCCTGGTTAGGGCACTCTCCTGGGAGATAGTATTTGAGCCCAGGTATACCTACTCAATGTTAGGTAGAGTGAGGATGTGAATCTGGGTCTTCCACACCCGGGGTTTGGGCTCTAACAATTAGGCTAAAGATTTTAATTCTCCTTTGTTTTGTGTGAGACCTGATCCAGTAGGCATGCTCTGAGCACATCTATCAGACTGGGGCCACAGACAAGGTAGGTGGGATAGTGCCTAATGTGAGGATCCCACTGGGGCTTAGGCAAGAGGGAGGTACCCAGGCAGCTTGTGCATGCCCTGTGGCAGAAACATAGGCAATCCTGTGAGGTTTTGAGCACCTGCAAAAGTCCTAGTGCCATGAATGGGCGTTAAAGGTGTTCATTGTCTTGCAGGATCAAACACTTACGTCTCATGAAATTAAACTGAAGAGAATGGAAGGGACGTTGTAGAGGCATAATGGAGGGAAGAATTTGATTCTACAGTTCTAAGGTGACAATACTTTTTTCTGTAATCAATTAAAGCCACCCAGTGTATCCTAATTTTTGTCAGTCCTCTACATGCCAAAGGATAAGGGCATGAACTATGCAGTTGGAACGAAGTTTAATTTATCTGAATACAGAATTAAAATCATGGAAGCAGGAACAAATGTAGGTCCTGACTTTGAGACAGTTTAGGTGCAGAACAGTGTGCCTATATTGTGCATACAGGAGAGACTTTCCAAAGGAGATTTGTCCTCCTAAAACCCTTTAGCCTATTTTGAGTATTCTCCCACAATTACTATGATTTCAAGTAATGTCAACTACATGTAAGAGGTGGAGTAATGTCAACTACACGTAAGAGGTGTAGCTATAAGGAAATTCTCTCCAGATTGCTAAATCTTTTGGAACAGCTGAAAAATATAACTGGCCTCAGAGAATCCTGTCCTTTTTTTATACTGTGTCCATTACATGGTGGGACAGGACCTAGAGTCTAGTGAGCACTGAGTGAAATCCCTTCCTCTGCAGAAGGCCTAAACATCACTTACGTTCAATTTATGTTGTAAGAATAGGCTTGAATTTTGTTCACAGTGCAGATATGATTAATAAATTGTCTTTCATAACTTAATGTCACAGAGTTAACAGTTGTTACAAAAATCTTTATTCTACACGTGAGCCTTTTGCTACCACTATGTTACTGAGCTACATACATATTTCTGAGTGCAATACACTTTAGCCATCTTTACGATCGTGAAAATATTCATCACATTTTAAATAATATTGTGACACAAGCTCATGCCAAGGCCCTGGGCCTTACTGAACACTGACAAATGAAGAGCTGGAAACCAGTCTGCTTCAACTCTATTGTGGAAATAAACATTAGAGTTATAAGAATGT